TTGGCCAGCTTATTGTCTCAAACACACACACACATACACACACACACACACACCAGTCTACAAGTCTAAACAAACAAACATGCAGTGGTGAAGCACATTAGAGAAAGTCTGTCAAGTCTCTCTCCTCTGACATGCAGTGGGGCATTGTGAGAGTTTACAGACCAAAGTGGAGGTTTGAAACCCTCTCAAATGCGGATTGTAAACTGGCTCTACATGAACAGACAATGGAACAAAACCTTGATGGTAGCTGCTAAATGCTGACTCCAGTTTTCTTTCGGATTCAGCTGGAAGCATCTTGGGAGATCTACTGTATCCTTTGAATCATCAAAGAAAACTTGGCTGGATTTCATTTACCTGCTGTTGTTGTGCTTCTGAGCCACTCTGGAAAACATCAAATGTAAATGTGCCTGAGTGGCTGTTACCTGTCATTTGAATGTACTGAATGCTAGCAATGCACCAGATTATTCAGGGGCTATCAGAAAGGGCATTAAAAATGTAAAACGTGGCTTTAAGATGAGCTCTAGTGAGTGCTCAAAACCATTTGCACAATAGCAATAGGTGTTAGGGAGTTGGCTTCTTTTCAACTCCATGAAGGGACTATGGCCACGACCCATCAGCACAAACATGATATAAAATATATTCAGGAAATAATTATTCCTGTAGCTACATAATGAGGTTTGGTTTTCAGGATGAAAAAAGAGGCTGAACAAAAGATTGTGCAACTAATCTGAAAAAAGTTTCATGCAATCAATAAACATGTCTCCAATATTTTCCATAAAAAGCTTTAAAATCAGATTAGAAAAAAAATCTGTTTCTTTGCTTTTACAAGAAAAAACAAACACAAACAGGTATCCATTGTTAATCTAAGAATAATCTGATATCTACCTGGTTGAAATATTTGTTAAGGTTATCCTGTAAAATCTCCCTAAGATGACACTTTATAAAGGTGTGTCTCACTTTTAGCATAAAGAGGTTCCCACAGACAGTTTGTGGCTGTTGTGGGAACATGACTGGTTTGTGCCTGAGGCAGACAGGAGAGAACATCTGTACCGAGCAGAAAACACTTTATGTCCTCAGGTCTCAGGTGGGTGTTTTATTTTGCTGTAATGTCTGTAAATTAAAAAGAGAGCTAGATACAAACTGATAATTACATTAATATCATGGCCTACAGTACACTCCTGTTAGTAGCCTACATTATTCTATAGCCAGACACCCTTTGCACCCTTTGTCCTCATCAGCAGCAGGCCCATAACTCAGATTACTTTCACGTGTGTCTTTGCTATTTGCCTTGTGTTTTTACTGCTGTGCTGCCCCACTGACCCCAGTCTACGTGGCTTCGGCGTCAACAAGCATTCTAACGACATGTGAACGTTTGGGCATGCCGCGACAATGGCGCCTTTAGACAGGTGCATGCAGCCCCCATCACCCACCACCACCCCTCACCCTGCCGCCGATTAACCCCTTTGCAATGCTAAATACGAGGACTGGGCCATTTTTTATTTCATGGCTTTTAGCATACCTCCTCTTTAGACTCAATTGTGCGTGCGTACACAAAGATAACCTCAAATTAAAGACTCACGTCCCGACGTCAGGTCACACGATCCTCCCCCAGTAACGTCCGACCTGATTGGCCCTTCATTCAATCTTAATATCAAACAAACAAGAGCAACTTTAACAGATGTAATAAACGTGCCGAGAGCCCATAATAACCCATCATTTTCTTATTATTACCTTCTAGTATATCCTGTTCTGTTCATAGTGCAACAGCTTCGATGACGCAAAACAGGATAAATAATTGTGTGAAGCCCTCTCGGGCAGCAGGGCCCCTCTCCTCTCGAGGCATTATGAAATGCTGCCGCATTTCATGCCACCTAATGGCACAAGATTTATTAGAGCCCTGTCTGGGTTTGCATCATCATATTGTTCCTGTCGTTTCTATCTCGGGTCAGGCTGTGAGCCAGTTGGAGAACAGTACCTATTTTAGACGCACTCCTGCCCCTGACGCTGACAAAGAGATAGGTCAAGATGCACTGAATGGTTTGTGCCAGGGAGAGAACAAACCGTTTGTCTCTTCTGCCTTCTCAAAAATGCCTCCTCTTAATCCAAGTAACGGGCACATATGGAGTAGAGCCATCATAATGTGTCACTTGAAGCTTATTCGGATAGTTTTAGAGTCGTTTTTTTTGTTTTTTTAACTCAGCTGTAATGATAATTGGAGGGTTTTTTTCTTTTACTTTGTGTTTTACAACGACATTGTTCAAAGTGGTAGGCCTATTAGAAGCATTGATTTTTACACACAAATCTTTCTGACAGCAATTTTCTGCAAGCTGCAACCATTAGATGCATAGAAATGATGACCACGGCACCGACCTTGCCCGGTTAATTTCCAGTATGACCCGACAGAGGACGCTCCAGCTTCAGATGGTCATGACATTTAACTCAGTCTGTTTTGAAGATACGTGTTCATTACTCTGATTCTCGTTCACAATAAAAATCGTCAGTGCGCACGTTTTACACGTTTCGTGTACCTGCGTCTTTCTGGCCTGACTCCACTTTGAACTGCGCAGTCATCTACTGATATTTAATGACAATAAGTGTTTGCCTCAAGATAAACCTTCAGTCATTACAGCCGTGAATTGCCCATTAGGTTTGCGCTCTGCAGCAGCGTTTGGCACATTGGGCACCTGTGGTGAACAGGGCTAAGGGCGCCCTGACACACGGGGTGTGTCCTTGGGCGGAGACCAGCCCACCCACCCGCTGCTTCTCTCGTCTGGCTACTATATGAGGCTGTGCGATCATTCAGCAAGATACAATCAATCTTAGTAGTGGTCTTCTGTATCTCCTCATGTGTTCTCTCTCCGTTCGGGCGGAATCTGCTGCTGCGTAAAAAAGAGGTTGTTGCGTCTGAACGTTCGCCGCCGACGGAGTTATTATCTATATTTACCGGAGAAACGAGACCTCAACATGCCTCGGTCATTCCTTGTGAAGAAGTATTTTTCCAACAAGAAGCCATACTACAAGGAAAGCCATTTGGAAAGCCAAACTGGTAAGATTCTTCCTCAGAGAATTAATGTTTGACAGGTAGAGTGAATCACAGTTACATTGAGTTCTTCATCAGTTCACCTTTAGGCATAGAGCAGACCCATGTGGCAGATAAGATGGACTTTTATCTTGCATGTAGCTTCTTGAGTGCAAATCATACTCTTGTAGTGTTTCTAGTCAACTGGAAAATTTGCTAATGAAAAAGCTAGATGGTTCAGCCTCAGGTGCCTGTAACAAGATACCAAGAATGAAGATAAGTTTAGTTCTTTATTAGATTGCCTGTGTATTTAACTGAAACCCCACCAGACTTCATTTTCTCTATGTTGTCTGTTATCAGCTTTTGTCCCAGAAAGCTTTCCTCGGGCTGAACTTCCAACACAACACAGCTCTGCCCTGACCTGCTATCCCACCAAGCCAATTTTCAGCAGCCTGGACACCTTGCCTGCTCCTCTCTCCCCAGTTACCCCAGTGTCTCTACCCAGTTCACCCCTGGGTCCTCTGGACCTCAGCAGCTCTCCCTTCAGCAGCAGTGGTGAGGAAGAGGAGGATGGCGGACGTTCTTCAAATCCCTCGAGTCCAGATACCATCCAGCACACCTACCACTGTCTGCACTGCAGTAAGCGCTACAGCAGCCTCTCTGCGCTGTCTCACCACCAGCTCTCCCACTGTACTACCCTGCAGCAGACACCTTCTCTGCCCACCGAGGCATCTGCACGCCCAGCCTTCCACTGCAAACACTGCCCCAAGGAGTACACCAGCCTGGGAGCCCTGAAAATGCACATCCGCTCACACACTCTGCCTTGTGTGTGCCCCACCTGTGGCAAGGCCTTCTCCAGACCGTGGCTGCTCAGAGGACACATTCGCACACACACAGGTATGCATCACAAGCACCTTTTCACCTTTGTAAATGTAACAGCCACTTGCTCCTTGTGCTGCTCATTGATATTCATTGTTGTCTCCTGATGTGTGAGCAAATGTTTTTGCTTAGCACGGTGTAATCTAATCTCAGCTTCACAGTTGCTCTGCATGACAAAGACAGTCTGCATTAAGTAAGTTAGGAGTAGTCTTCCTGCTCTTTTGTTTGTTATCTGTTGCTCATTTGAACAACAATGACCAGAGGAATGACCTTTTGGCCTGCTAAGTGTTTTCCTGAAGCTCACAGTTTTCTCTTCTATCCAGGTGAGCGACCTTTTGCTTGTCAACACTGTAACCGGGCCTTTGCTGATCGCTCCAACCTGCGTGCACATTTGCAGACCCACTCTGAGGTGAAGAAATACCAGTGTGGCTCCTGCTCGCGGACCTTCAGCCGCATGTCCCTGCTGCACAAACACAATGCCTCTGGATGCTGCCCTGCCTCGTAGACTCACATTCCTTGGACTGCTCTCATGAGCCAGTTGAAGCTGCTTGCTGATTCTGTTCCCCCCTGATTAGAGCCAGTACACCTGGATGACATTTGGGAGATTGATTTAAATCCAGGTCAGGATGGAAAAAGAAAATGCAGCTTTTAGAAAATGACTTGTTTAGTGCCTTAATTTCAGGACTCTGTAGCTTTATCAGATTTATTTTTTTGTGGTCCTATCGGTATTTGCAGCACATTTTTGAGGTTTCCTGTCAACTGTGTGTGTGTGTGTGTGTGTGTGTGTGTGATTTGAAGGCAGCTGGACATGCGGTTAATTCCCAGGAAACTCCCATCGGTGCCGGCCGGTCCGGGACTTTAGCCATGTTGCAGCTGCTTGGGTGTGTTTGTGTCTGTGTATGCAGGGATGTCATTCCTCACTGTACTATACATACATGGCATACATGAACAAGTGTGTGTTGAGACAGCTGTCTTGTGCATGGTGTACTGTGGAGGCAGGGCGGTGAGAGATGTGTTAGCTGTGGCCTCAATGACAGGTGACCCTCCACTCACTCCTCATGTCACAAACACTTTCTGCAGGCCATAGTGCATCACTGGACATGAGAGGACCACTTAAACTTGACCAAAAACACAATTTGCCTTCACCAATACTGTCTGTTTACAGTCAAAATAACATGTTCTTGGAAGAGTATTGACCTACAGTTTTTATGAACTATTTAGCTGAACATGCCATTCAAACAGGGAATCCTGTTCCTTTTTAAGGTTGTGCTTTTTTTCTGCCACTTGTAAATAAAGGCTTTGTAAAAAAACAAAAAAACACTGTGGACCAACTTATTATGTGCACTAATATCCATTAGTATTTCAACAAGCTTTGTATT